GGAAAAAACTGCGTTGTGATAGATCTGAAGTCCGCATTTACCCTTGGTCTCCTCAAAAGCATGGACCTGATGAGAAACGCAGGCAGATGATGGAAGAACACTATTGGGTGGAATTCCGCTACATACCAATAAAGATTCGGGCTGCATTTCTCTATGATTTTGGGGAAGTCCACGACATTGTTGATTTTATTGATCCGCTGCCGGCATATGCAGCCAGAAGAGATGATTACTTGATGTTAGCAATTAATCATCCCTTGAATGTTCCGTTCAATATAGATGATGTGATCCCTTACCGAGTGGGGGGAAGGGAGTATCACATACATACATCACACAAGCTGCGTCCCTGGTGCTTTCGCTGTAGAGCATATGGTCACCTATTTCTAGATCCATCATGTGCACATAATCCCTCGCGCAAACAAAAAATAACAGGGAGGTTGATAAGGGACCCGTTCAAAGCTAATCTTTGGAGAACGGTGGACCCAGGACATGAGGGATGGGTGTATGTGGAAGGATCAGGTAAGGGGCAGGGACCCAAAGGATGGACATGGGAGCAGCAGGGTGAGCCGAACTGGGACTCCAAACCGCCACAGGGATGGATCCCGCCGGCTTCTTCACCTCCACTTTCTCAACACTCACGACCGCAGGGAACACAGCCAGAGGTGTGTCCAAAGGAACAGAATGGGCAGAGCTCCTTGCTTAATGTACCTGGTGGTGCACAAGGGGAGCAGGATAATATTCATGAGGTGGCTGATTTTTCACAAGCTGTGGAAGCCCGTAAACCGGAACAGGGGGTGCAGGGAATAGGCATTAATACACCTGCAGAAAATGTTCCTAAAGTGGTGTCGCTTGGTCCGGACCCCAAAAACTATTTACAACCTCTTCCCTCCAAAGTCGGGGTAGTGGGACATGACTCATTCACTCCAAAAGGGGGGGATATGCAGGAAAGGCAGCAAGAATAGGAAACTGATGAAGAATCAGGACAGGAGATGGAGCAGGAACGACCCTTAATAAGAAGGAAGAGGAGAAAAAAAAAAAAAAAAAAAAGTTAATAGCGAGTAGGGGAGTATCAGTGAGACACAGAGGGACATCTAAAAAATGGATCGAACTAAAGGGAACGAAGGAAGGACAGGGACAGCAGGAAAAGGAAGAAATACATATGTCCTAAGGTATCGGTTCCATCAGTCTCATCTGTACAGGTAGAAGGAACAGACACGCAGATTGCCTCAAGGGCAGAAGGAACAGACGAGCGGGAGGACTCAGACCCGTTCAGGGAAGCGTTTGGTCCATCCCCGATGGAGGTAGACCAACAAGTCTCTAAGGATATTCCAATGGGGGATGTCCCTGTTCCTACTGCAGGGGATGACCAGGCACATATTGCGGTACCTGACAAAAATTCTCAGCTTACGGATTGGTTAATTCGACAGTTGAAAATTAAATATATATCAGCGTCGGAGGAATTCTGGTGCAAATTGCATGACCAGATTTACGAAATTCTAGATAACAGTCCAAGCTTGAGACTGGTACTACAGCAGGGTCTACCTACTGGAGCACTATGGCCAATAGTTAGTCAGAAAATGCTGCTTGCAGTGTCTACTATGTTTCAACCCCCGCCATCACTGGAGGGCCCTTGGGCAAAAAAACAGTTGGTGACAACCAACTTTTCAGAGAGGCTTCAGGGGTTAGGGGGAAGTCAAAAGTCTGATTCGCTACAACAAGAGGGGATTTCTACCACGGCCATCTATTCAACCAATGATGAAGGGCCTCTAGCAATGGTGGTGGTGGAGACGGCGGCGGTTCAGGAAGTAACCACGATTGACACCAGCAAGGATATGTCGGAACAGGAAAGACAAACAGGAAAGAAGGATGAGGGGGGAAGGGTAGGAGAGACAAATCCTACAGCAACACAAGAAGAGACAGATCTCACGGCAACACAAGTCGCTGGTAATGAAATACTAATAATTTCAGAAAAAGGATTCATAATGGACGACCCTCCTACACGGTCAAGAAAGAGAAGAAAATCTTTGGAGGTTGATAATCAAAGAGAAAAGTTTCTCTCCGAGGACCTCAACCCTCAAGGCAAGGAACTGATGGGGAGGGAAGTGGTTCCATTCCAACAGAGGGGGACTGAAAATTTGCTACAGGAGCAGGAGATGGAACCTCAGCAGTCCATATTGTCACAGCAACTATCAATCCAGCAGAGCAGCAATCAACAGCAACCACAAAAGGCACAACAGCTGTTTTTGGACCAGGAATCCTCCCAACATATAGGGGAGAAGAGTCAATAGCAAGGGATAAACCTTGTTCAGTCCGCACAACTCAACAAAGAGGGAGTAGTTGCCTATCCAACGCCACTCTCACAAGAAGCAGGCAAAAGACAAAACTTGAGACATGTGCTAGAACGAGGGCAGTCAGTTAGATCACAGATGAAGGGAAACCTTGTAGTCCCGGTACGAAAGAGAAATGAGAAATGAGAAATAGGGTTATCCCCAATTGGGCAAGAACAGTATGGGGGCATAACTCTAAGAGGATGGACTACTTATGTGGAATACCAGAGCGCAAGCCAAATTTAATTTGTTTACAAGAAACTCACCTCACAGATTCACACATACACACGAGAACACATAATTTAGCCTGACCATATACTAAGTTTCATTCATCGGCCCCAAGGAGTGGCTCAGGAGGGGTGGCCATATGGGTCCCACCGGACTCAAGGGCGGAAATATTACAATGGACAACAGATAAAAATAATGGCAGGTGGGTTTCTGCAATGATTATGATTGATTTGGAAGTAATTTGTGTGATTAATGTATATGACCCTAATGATGTCCAGGAAAGGGTAAATTTTTTCCAGGAAATTAAAACTCAAATCCCGGATGGCATTCCTGTCATCATGACTGGTGATTTTAATGCGGCCCCGGATAGGTGGTTTGATCGCTGAAAATTACCCTCTCCATGTCCAGCATATGTAGAAGTGGATGAAATAATAATTAACTCACTATGTGAAGGGGAACGTCTTTTTTACACATATCGAAGAATTTTTCCGCAGGAACGTTTATTCACATGTATTCGTAATAGCGGAACACCTCTTCAAACCCGTTCTAGAATAGATTTGATTCTTATGTTATAAGATTTATATAGGGCCTTACTATGGGCGGCTATTTTTCCCCAAAATCCTTGGCCAGGGGCGGATCACAAAATGTGTGTTTCCCTTCTCGCCTTCAGAAAGAAGTCGGATCAGGAAAGGGGATTTTACAAACTCAATACTTCCTTGTTATCACAGGGACATTTTAAGCAATACATAAAAGACGTGCCAGTGTGGGAATTTTGGCACACCACCAGGGTTAATCAAAACTCGTATGAAAATTGGTTTAACAATGGGCTCGCATTCATAGCCAAAAAGTGCAATGAATTTTCGAAACTTCAAGCTAAAAACAAGTATTTAAACGAATTAAATATCCAAGAACAAATTCTAATTTATGAACTGACTAATCAACCTGATAATCTAGCCTATCCAGTCGATATTCAAGAACTTAAGAACCAACTCCTTTCTTTTGCACAACATCGTTGGCAAGGACATATAATTAGAGGCAAACTATCGAAGTTTGTGACAGAGGGTCAAATGGATGCTTCATTTTTTGCTATAGCCCGTTCACGTTCTCGATGTTCTTTCATAGAAGGGTTTTTGGACCCAGAGGGAACTAACTCTGATCTCTCGACCACGTCGGCAGGTAGCCTTAAGAGAGCTTATGATTTTTACAAAAGACTTTTTTCCTCCTCCAAAGATCCGGAATTGAGAAGGGAAGATAATATAGCAATAGTAAATTTCCTACAACCCATGACACAGACTCTGTATCAGGAACAGAAAGATAACCTTGAGAGACCATTAAGTCAGGACGAAATATGGACAACACTCCTACAAATGTATGAGGATAAAACACCAGGTGTAGATGGTCTCCCTAAAGAATTTTGGGAAACCATGTGGCCTGTTTTTGCATCCGATTTAATGAAATTTTTTGAGTCAATACAAGAATCAGGTCGGATGGTGGAATTTGTAGGTCAAGACATTCTCACTCTCCTACATAAAAAAGGAGACAAAACAAACATCAGGAACTATAAACCAACCACGTTGCTTTCGATCGTCTATAAAATGTTAGCAAAAGTATTAGCCAATCGTTTGATCCCAGTTATGGCTGACATCATTCACCCTTCGCAGACAGGTTTTATTAATGGTAGACATATTCAAGAGAATATTTTGCTTATTAACGAAGTGGTTAAATTATCTAGACAGTCCAAGAACAAAGCAGCCTTCATCTTCATAGATTTTGAAAAAGCATATGACCATGTAAACTGGCATTTTTTTGAGGCCTGTCTAAAAAAAATAAATTTTGGTTCAAATTTTCGAAAATGGATTAGTATTCTTCATACTAATGCTACGACTAAAATTCAAGTAAATGACCTCCTTTCTCCATAAATAAAGTTACAAAGATCGGTGAGGCAAGGAGACCCCCTGACGCCTTTTCTTTTTGTGATTATAATGGAAGCATTATGAGCCAACCTCAGGGCTAATAGTAATCTAAAACGTTTGCGCATCTCTGGTATTCCACCTGGTATTCCAGAGGAGGTTATTCCAGTCTGCTCCATGTTCGCCGATGACCTTACGGTTATGGTAGAAGCCACAAATGAAAATATGGTAGAAATTCAAACCATGATGGATAAATTCTCACAAGTCTCGGATATGGTGGTCAATTAGGGCAACAAAACTCAAGGGTGGTTGTAGCGGACCCACCAGGTGTGGTGCTCCGCTAGTGACAAAGATGGAGATGGAGGAAGAAGGAGGGAGCAAGGTGCACAACGCAACTCCCCACGCAGACTCCAACGCACGTACTTCGAAATGTGCAACTGAAGAATAAGCTGAAAACAGACAACTGTTGAGGTATACCCCAGCAGACTAACGAGACTGGACTGGACTGCCCCCGAATAGAGCACATGCCTGTGAGAACAGACCAAGGGGCTGGTCTCACAGGCCAACCAACTAGAGGTCCGCTACACGATCCTCGACCTGTGATGGATCGCCTAGATACAAACACGCTTCCGTTAAGAAGCGAAACTCTACCAAAGAAAAAGAAAAACCTGAGTAGTCTAGGATGCGAAGCAAGCTCCATGCTGAGTCCATGCGATGCAACCTAGGCTAGAAAATGTCACAAAACAACAATGTCACAGCTAACAGCCTAGGTAAAAGCAGAAGCAACTGACTAGCATACATGTCCTAGGAAAGCAAAAGCAACTAACTAGCATACATGTCATAGGAAAGCAGGAAGTAGTGACAACTAGATCCTAGAATGTTGGAGGCACTAGCCTCAGTCTGGTAACAGCTGACTAGTGTATAAGTCCTAAGAACAACAAAAACAGAACAACTAAATCCTAGAAATGTGAGAGGCAGTAGCCTCAGTCTGAGAGCAACAAGCAACAACAAGTCAACCATAGATCACAGGAGGGGTGTGTCGCAAACCAAAGGGTGGGATGGTCTCTGAGGGTGGCGAATGCAGCCTAGGGGTCGAAAACTCCTAAGGGCATCCACACATAGATAACAGGGAGACACATGTCATCAGGCTCAATGAGGGTAGGGAACTGGGAGCGAACAGAACCAATGATCCTAACAKATAGACCATCAGGGCAGGTAAAGCTCGGCTAAGGGGTGACCGCTATGGAGGGTCGACCATGCAAGGGAACAAGGGAGCCTGGTATACTGGGCGCACCTAGATGAAGCATGCGGGGCTGCCTAACTAGGGCGTGAGGGCCGACAGAGGGTAGGGGTGATGGGTAAGGGAATCATGCAGATGACTCCTAAGGCGGGGAAGTCGGAGCTAGATCCGTAAGATGGGAAACCAGGGCAACGCTACGGTCCCGATGCCTATGCGTATACCAAGGGAGAGCCCAACTCAGAGGAACCCGGCTAAA